ACCATTTCTCTGATCCACTCCTTTCACCAGGAGGATGCCACTCATCCCCACGTGGCACCAGTCCCCTCCCCTCTTCCAACCCTCCCCACTGAAGACAGAAAAAGCTCACTATTAAGGACTCTACACCCAGCCCCTTCAGTTACAGGCTGGGGAAGATCCCTGTACGCACTTCTGAGTCCCCTGTCAGAAGCAGGGAAGGCAAGATGTGCCATTCCTGATATATCTAAGGAACAATGAAGATGCAGGAGGAAAAGCTTGTCCAGCCACCTTCTTGCATCACGAAGAAGCAGAAAAGGGCACCAGTCCAGTTGTTTTTCCCCCTTCAAGTCACTTCAGCACTCTGTGCCTCAGTTTACCAATTTGTCAGATGGGTATGATATATAGTCTAATAATGGGGATAGAACACATTGCAGGGGAGCTGTGTGGATCGGGTCATTACTGTCTGGAAAGTTCTTTGAGGTCCTCGGTTAGGACGTGTTAGAGAAGGACAAAATCTGCACTACAACTAATGTCTGAACAATGCCTCGGGATGGTAAACTCCGTCAGAGCTAAGCATGATTATTATTTACACTTGCAGCACTACACGCCACAATAATAGCACAGAGCCCCTCTGCAGCACTTTATGGCCCAGGTTTTAAAACGATCTGTGAAAAATGCACCGGCGTGACTTGGGTATGGAATTCCTGCGATTGCACAATCAGCCATGGTAAATACATGGTTATTATTTTGTTACCTCTTGCGACCCAAGCAGCTAGTCAGAGTTTGGGACCCTGGGGTTGTTTCCACTGGAGGAGACATTGATGAGGTACTTCTTTGATGCAATCTTTTTTATTTACCAAGAATATACAAAGTCCCGTTTCCCTGAACACAGGAGGAATCAAATAATGGGAGGCAGTGTCCTTGCTCACAGGTCCAAGGTTCTTTTAGCTGGCACCTCCACCCTAAATCTCTCTCTAGGCTTCTCCCAGGGCCACATCACACTTCCAGGTGGTGTCTGTCTCTGTCCTGCTTCTTCCTCACCACACCAACCCTTGGTTAAAATAATACTCAGCAAAGTCCCTCTGCTCACATTGTAAATTCCTGACCTCACTCACTTATGTCTTTGCTTTGGGCGATGACGTACACGTAACTGACCCTTACGGTTATCTTAAATGAAGGGCAGTGGTTAAACCTGTATTATTATTTGCATGACTGTACTGCCCGGGTGTGTCTATCTGTCCAGGTGCTTATACGGGATCTCCATCACTGAAGTAGCTGAGTAAATGGTCACCCAGACATCTAATTGGACTTCGCATGCACAATCACCGTGAATGCCCAGGGGACTTGTGCACACAATAAAATCTGGCCCCGTGTTTTCAAAGCACCGTGCAAAACACTGGACTAGATTTGCTTCTGCTTGACAGTCCCAGGCCCCAGCCGCAGGGGAGCCCTCTCAGGAGTAGAGGAGGCACAACAGTGCAAGCAGCCCACATACCTGTTGTGCCCATCTGGTGCAGCCCTAAAATGGGGAGGAGGGGCAGCTAGGGGAGGGGACAGAGCCAAGGAAGGCCCCTGGCAGAGGTGCTCTCTTGGTCGATTTGCTGGGCATCCTCTGTTGGTGGGATTCTACAGGAGCCCCTGCCTTGGCTGGACACTACTTGTCCCAGCAGTGAATCAAGCCCACTAGCTAACACATACGAGCCCAGCCCTGAATCCCTTACTCAGCTTTGACTCCCTCCTTCCTCAGCCCTGGGAATTTTGCCTGGGTAAAAAGGTCAGGATTTGGCCCTGTAACTGCAGACCCAGACATAGAGGTCCCTATGCCCATTAACCCCATGTGCGCGCCTGCTCTTGGTGCAGCGCAGCTCTGGGGAATACTAGCTACTTCCCAGGTCTGACTGCTCCTCTGCACTTGCTGAGGTGAGTGACACCTGTCCCCTCCCTTTCTGGTCATCCTTTTGGGACAGACGTTTCTCCTCTCCTCCTGTCCGCCCCAGGTGCCAGGCAGCCCTGCTTCTTGGCTTCTCGTGGCTCCAGCCCAGAATATGAATCATAGATCCCCTCCTCAATCCCATTTTGCTGTCATAATTAAGCTTATTTTGCCCTATCCCCTCTTGTTCCCAAGCAGCTCTCCAAAGGGTCTTTGGAGGTTTCTCATTTGTTCTAAATCCAAATGTCTCTCTCTCTGCTCCCAGAATGTGTGGAGGAGAATTTAAACAGGGACTGAGGGTGTTAAAACCACAATGTTTCTCTTTAAAGCGGGTCGGCCACCATGGGGCGAGATGCTCATGCATGAGTCACACCTAAATGCTAAACAAGATCACAGCTCCTTGGAATACAGAGCACCGGTGGGATCTGCGAATCCATTGCCCTGAAAGTGCAGGCGGCAATAGGTGGGTAGCCCCCAGACGCTGCTCTTGTTCTGTTTTGCATAATTATCCAAGAGATCTGCCCTCAAACAAAGGGATTTGCCATCTCCTTCTGCCAGATCCTGCAGTGATGTCCTCTTGCCAGGCTGGTGACATTACAGTCATTTCCATGGCAACACACTGATATCACAAACACAGGCGGTTGACCTCATGGCAGGGTCCAGTAGAAGGAAACCCCCTTGGTGCTAATCTGCCACCCAAAGAAGGGTTGTTATTTATTGGGAACAAAACACGCAGACCTGCCACTCCACTGTTTGATGGAACCCACCCTTCTGGTCCTCAGCACAGCCATGTGTCTGCACTGAAGCCTGCTGTTTGTTTAGGGCAAGGAGATGATTTCTTCCATGCAGCGCCGAGCATGCTGTCAGCACTCAACAGATACATAACATGAAGCATGAGAAGCTATGTTCCAGAGGCTGGGAGGAAGAGAGGAGTGGCTCGACTTAAAAATATTGACAGATGTAACGAATACTACGATGATGTTGCCAATCTCTAGCCTCTTCAATATCTAGATCTCAAAGCTTTTCCAAACAGGAAAGAACAAATCCTCCCGTCTCTCTGAGGTGAGTCAGGATCATTATCTCCTTTTACAGGCGGGGAAACTGAGGCACGGATGGGCGTCTGAGCAAAACTTTCAATCCTGGGTGCCTCAAGTTAGGCACCTCAGTTTGTACAGAGGGGCTGAAATCAGTGACCTGATTTTCAGCGGCGTTGCATGCTGACAGCTCCCACGGAAGCCAATGAGAATCAGGCCACTTTTATTTAGCTGCCTAACTATGGATTTAGGGATCTATCTTTAGGTACCCCAGTCTGAACATTTTGGCTTGAGTATCTTGCCCCAGGCCACACAGAGGGCCGGGGACAAAGGAAGAGCTCAGTCCCCCCAACTTTCAGCCTTAGCTACCAGACCATCCTTCCTCCCACTCAGGAAGACATGACAGCAAACGGACACCAGTACAACTACCACTGATCACAGGCGGTAGAGATGGAAAAGCCCCGTTAGGTCCCATCTAGTCCATCTGCGGAGCCCGGGTAGGATCTTTCCCTCTAGGCTATTTACTAGACCTTTTTGTCCAGTCTAGGACAACAAACAAATGCCTCAAGAGTGGCCAGCGCCTAGCACCATGCGTGACTGGGCCTCTAGGTGCTCACCGCTACACTGGTGCTAAGAAATAACAGGGATGCTATTGGGGTTTGATCCCAGCTGCCAGCCCCACTTCAACAGCCCCCTTGTGTGGGATGCTGGGACCCCTTACTGAAAGATACAGGTCAGCCTCTCTCTCCCCCTTGCTCTTCCTGCTGGCCTGGTTTGATTGCATGTAGAGTCGGTGGGTTTGTCTGCGTGCTGCTAAACGGCCTCCCTCCCCGATCACGCTGCTTTGCTTCAGTAAACAGCGAAGACTTCCAGTGTCTCCCCCCAGGACTAGCAGCGAGTCCCTCTCCCTGGCAGCGCCCAGGCTGGGCTATTTGGAGTGATCCACCTGTAATTCCTCTCCCCCTCTTCCCCACCACCCGCCCGCCGCTCTGCTCCTTCCTCCTCGTGCCTCTGGGCGAAGGAGCAGAAACAAGAAACGAAAAAAAAAAAGCCCGTAAAAAAGCGCTGTAGAAAAGCAGAGCAAATTAAGCAGAGCCCTGATCCGCTTGGGTTTGTGCTCGCCAAAAATGCACCGTGCATCTTAATTCGCTCCGCTGTTCAGCTCTCACACACTGCTCTCCTGGTGCCATTTCGGCGCTCTCCGCTCCGCCTTTTCAACACTTCATTCTTCTTCGGTCTGTGTGTGTGTGTGTGTGTGTGTGTGTGTGTGTGATTGCAGAATCTGCTACCGCCGGTGCAAAGGAGCGAAAGAGATCCCCCCTCGGAGCTCCCCGGGCAGCTCCAAACGATCCAGTGGGTCCCCGTTGCAGTTTTTTTCCCAGCCGCCGCGATTTTGGGGGGTGTGCATTTTCTAGAAAGTGCTTCTTGGGCGCTCGCCAAGCTATTTGACACCCATCCCCGGGAGCTGCCTTTTATCTCCCCGGGATCCTTAGAAAAGAAACGCGTACATGAAAAGGACCCGGAGTCCACACTGGCGGTAGGCGCCTCTATTCCAGTGCGGGTCTTTCCTGCTGGCTATCCGGATTGCAGCAAAAAATTAAAATAAAATAAAACAGAGAAAAAGAAAGTAAAAAAGAAAAAAAGCCGAAGACACTCTCCCCTCCCCCTCTTCTCCATTGCAATCCCAACTGGAACTTTTCCTCTTCTAGCCGGGATGCCTTTCCTCATCTCCAGTCCTCAGCTTTCCTCTGTTTTTTTTAAGTGGCGGGGGGGAGGGGGGAATCCTTTTTATTGCAGAGAGGGAAACACGCCGAGAGGGGATCTCTTTGCAGGCGCTTGTGCAATCTAGCTCTATAGATAGATAGTTATATTTTTGCACGCATCTCCTGCTGCAGCAGATCCAGCCAGCGTGGGGGAGGGGATGGAAAGGGTGCACCCTCCTCTCCTGATCCTCTCTTCTGCCTCTGTGTGGTTTTTTTGCAGGTGTGTCAATTTTAATTCTGCCCAGTAGGTGGGACTTGGTGACTTTAGCACCATTTGTGTGCGTGTGCGTGTGTGTGTGTGTGTGTGTGTGTATGTGTGTGCTTCCTCCCCATCTTCTATTGCAATCCTCAGAAGTCTCTCCGAGAGAGCGAGAGAGCGCCTGATACTGAGAGCCAGCCTGCAATCAACAAGGCACTATGCATTTCAGACCGCTACTGTAGGGGGAATTACAGCTTCTCCTAGCCAGCTGCCAGCATGATTTCATCTGCTGGAGGATTTTTGCATCTGATCGTTTGAGTTTTTTTTCCTTCCCTCTGTCTTTGTTTCCTTCCCCTTCTCCCCCCCCACCCCCCTTTCCTCCTCCTCCTCCTCCTCCTCTTTTTTTAGAAGCAGCAGTCGGAGATGGATGTCTCTCTTTGCCCTACCAAGTGCAGTTTCTGGAGGGTATTTTTGCTCTGGAGCATTTGGGGAGACTATCTGCTGTCGGTGCTGGCGTGCCCTGCGAATTGCCTTTGCAGCAAGACAGACATCAATTGCAAGAAGCCGGATGATGGGAACCTCTTCCCTCTCTTGGAAGGGCAGGATTCAGGCACCAGCAATGGGAACACCAGCATCAACATCACTGACATCTCAAGGAACATCACTTCAATGTAAGTCAGCTATGCCCCCCACCCCCACCCCAGTGGGTGCCCTTTCCTCTACCGCTGCCCGAGACACAGGGTGTGTGTGTGTGTAAGGGGAGAAACCAGCGTGTGGATTTCAGGTGCCCTCAGCATTGCTATGGATGCTGGTTATTCCCTGCCTCAGACCCGTTATGCCTGGGTTGCCGTGCAGAGGACGCGAATCTAATTTTCTGCCCCCACCGAAACAGCAACAGTTTGGCTCACGTTTAAGTGGGATAAAGTAAATGAGATGAAATGGCTTAGCAGGGGCGGGCAGCAGGCAGAGATGCTGTAAAGCGACCTCTTCTTTCCCCCATTTGTGTTAGCGGAGAGATGAAAACACACAAACACACACACAAACTGGGCACCTAAGGCAAGTTCTAAGCTGCCTGCTCCTTCAGAGACTTCGGATCTGATTAGAATGTCATTTTTTATCCCCCCACTGGCAAATGCACCCTCCTCTGCCCTGGCTGCGTGGTTCTGGGAATCTGCAGTTTCTCCTTTTTAAGAGAGAGAGAGTGTGAGATGCCCCTCAAGTTGTTATAATTTTCCAGCTCCATTCTGATGCTGAGCTGGGATTTGTGTATTTTGATCTCAGGGTAGTGGGGGTATGTGTAGGAGGCAGATATTTTTAGTTGAGCACTTTGCGTTTGTTTGCCTGCTTGTTTATCTGGAAAATCAACTGGAAGTTGCATTATCCTTGTTTGGAGAGGCTGGTAGCAAAAGCCCATGCAAATCTCATCAGCGTAGAGTAGGGAAAGGACTGTTTTTTTTCTCCCCCCCCCCATCATGCTATGTTATGTGTGTGTTTAAAAAATCCCTCATCTTCTACAATCTCTGCTCTTCAACGTTCAGTACATTTTCGGGGAGGTGAACTCCAAGGCATTTCATTATTCTAATGCTAATTGAAATGTGAGCATTTAGGGAAATGTAACCCCATGAGTAAGTTGCCTGTGGGAGTTGGGTGGAAATGAGGTGGAATTCTTTATCCTGGCAGTTAAATGCAGCAAGGTTTGGGATGAGTAATTGATGGTTATTTATTTATTTCCCACCTCCATTGTGAAATAGCTTGTTCGAAGGGTGCTCTTTGATGGTTCTTTTCCCGAGGCTGTGCTATTTGGTCACAGTGCAATTGTAGCACCGCTATGGAATAATTGCGATACCCTCCTTAAGAGCATTGCTCTGCACCTTTGCCGGATAAAGATGACTGGGTTAACACAGACTGTTAACGGGTTTAATGTAATGAATGCCCACGCAGTTCTCCCCACGTCCAGTTCTAGTGAGTAACGCTGACCTATTCCCATGCTACGACTTTCCCTTTCCAGCAAATCTGCTCTCCAGAAACTAAAGGGATCAGGGAAAGTAAATATGAACCTAATGTAATGTTTGAGTGCCAAATGGCCCATATTTACCCTGTGCCCCCTGTGCTGGAGTATTGCTGTGGATGCTAGAGCGATCCAGATAACACTAGGAAAGTGGGAGAAACTTGTATTTATTTCTGTGCTTACCGTTTGTTGTGTTTTTCTCTTAACCCTTTCTTGTTAAACCGTGAGCATCAAGCATGCTGTAAGAGGGAAGAGAACTAGCAATTTGGTTACTGTACTGTGGCTCAGAGGCAGCTTGTGTGGTTGTTACTTAGTATGTGTTTGTGTGTGTATATACACACATCTGAACTGCTGGATGACTTACTACAATGTGAATCCTTCGTGTCTAGAAAATGTCTTTACTGCTTTGAAATTGAAAAATGCGGGGAGTCAACAAAAAATCCAACCCGAACAAAAAACCTAAAACCCAGCCCCCAAACCTCTCAACTCCATTAGGAAATGTTTTCAGGAGAAGAGCATCTTTTCAGGACAGGACTAATGAGAGGGTGACTGGGTAAATCTGTTTGTGTTCCATCTAGAATAATATGTCTTCCCTGGATCCCCAACTCCCTAAATGGACTTCTGTAGCTTTGGAAGAAATGGTGGTAGCTGAATTGAGGTTAGTCCATAACCACCACTACTGTGATTCGGGATTTTAGGCTGAATATCAGGAAAGACGTCTTGACAGTGAGATCTGTGAGACGGTGAAATAGTCTCCCCAGGGAAGAGATGAAAACCCGGGTGTTCAGGATGCTTACAACTGGCATTAACCATTGTACTTGGAGGGGGCAACCTGGTGGGCCAGGGATGGGCTAGATGGCACCTAAGAAGTCGTTTCCTCCTGCGATTTGTGTGGGATTCCTTAGGGACCTGAGCGCGTGGCCTGAAGGAGCTAGGACAGAAACTTGTGTTTAGCAAGCATACTCTGCTTACTCCGCCCTCGACAGAAAGGGAGGCTAGGACAGGGCTGATTGGGTCAGTTCACAGGGAGGGAAGGTCAAAGATCATCCCTGCCCCCACCTGGAGATTGTAAATATGAGTTATAGTTCAGCCCCCTCCTGGCCTGCCAAAACTATGCTGTTGCCAAGGAAGTTACAGTGCCCAGATGCTAGGGTGATGGGCACGTTCTCAATCCACCTAATAACGAATCCACTGCCCTTCCCAAAGAGAAGAGTGTGATGCTCCCTCATGCCGAATGTCACCTTTGCGTCATCCTGCTTCATCCTGTCTCCTAGTGTAAAAGCCCATTGGGGCTTTTATTTCGTTAGCCAGATTGACTTAGTGGCGTGCAATTGCCTCAGGGGTCGTTTAACTTACTAGCCCCTCATGGGGAATGGTGTGCAAAAGAAGGCGAGTAGCTAGCTTGCAGCACCTGCCTTTCCTGTCAGTCTCTGGAGAGGGGTCGGGGGCTGTATTGGCGGGGTGGGTAGCGGAGCTCTGGTGCTCGTCCTGTGTCTGGGCCTGTTCTCCAGTCTCTGCTGCGTGACGCCCGGTGTCTGGGAAGGAATATCTAGCTTTCAAGAGACTCCCGTGAAGACTTTCCCTTCGCGTGGCTGTTGAAAACATGGGTGGGGCGTGTTCTTTCTCAGAAAGGCCACAGGGCCTAGGGTGATGCCTTCCCCGTTGCCAAACGACAACTGGTAAAGCTACGCTCACAGGGTCTCTGTGGTGGATTGAACTGTGGACATGCAAGACCATTTTCATCAGGGGAAGGGTTGGGAAAGAGAGAAGGGGCTGAGGGATGGGAGGAAGAGGACCCTAGGTGGTGAACACTTCACTCACTGTTATTTTAAAACTCTCTTTATGTTCCAAAGCCCAGCGGGAGAGGCCATGAGCCCTTTTGCTACAGGTCTTCAAAAGAAAACATCCCACTGAAAGAAGGAATATTCCCATCTCCCGCCATCTTGGGATGAAGCCATTGGAAGCATTTTGCTCTAGTGATGTAACATCCCGGAGGCCATCCAGGCCAGAGCCCTCTTTTACTAGGGGCTGCACAAGCAGATAGGAAACAGGGACCTGCCCCAAAGAGCTGAGAGTCTAACAGACGACATCACAGTGGCATGAGACAGAAGAGTGGGCCGAGGTGGGGGAAAGGGGTAATATGCTACGGGGTGGATGCAGTTCTTAGCCAATCAGGGTAGTGATCACAGCTTGCCAGCTGCCTAGGTTCTTTGTGTCCTTGTTTGTTGTATTTGGGGCCCAGTTCTTTGGAGCCTGTTTGGGGCATTCACTCTCCTTTCCCCCATCAATGGCAGAGGAATTACCAGCACCAAGGGTCTGGACCCTGGCATCTCATATCTTCAGATGCTGCCAGTGCTGAGAAGCTCTTTGCCACCTTCCTCTCTTCTGGGCAGTTTCCAAGCCCAAGCCATGCTGGCATTCCTTCCCCTACCTTGAAATCAGCCAGAGGGCTCAGTTTGCGTAGGCTTGAGTAGCAGCACGTTATTCTGTCATGGCCTGGCTGTCGAGCCGTAGTGAACTGAGTTCGAATTGCGTGCGACTTGCCAGTTCACCGTAGCAGATTCCCCAGCTGTCTGCGTGGGGGGAAAAGGTGCAGTGTGAGTGCAGCTGTGCATGAAGGCAGCCCTTTGGCTAGCGATCACCCACGGCCACCTCTCCCGTCGAGCTGGAAAAGCAGCCGCATGTTGGTAACCTGAGCTGCAAGTGGGTCGCTCTGAATTTGGCTGGGCCGCCTCGCTGTAATATTATCAGAGCCGGTGTAACTCAAGCTGCCGTTTAAAAGCTTGTTTAGAAATTGAACAAAAGCCTCAATTAATTAACGTTCCGCTCTCAGATTGGTTTTTTCCTCTCCCCCGGTTCTCCTTCCATGGAGAGCGGAATGGTCACATTTCTTGTTTCGATCTGTGAAGCCAGTGCTGCTGCTACTGGTGTGTGCGGCAGGTGGGGACGGGCCAGGGGACGCAAGGCCGAGAGCTAGTGAGGAGGCCTGGCCTAGTGAGATGGGCGGGTGCTCTCCCAGCTGCTTCCAGGAGAGGAGTGCTGAAGCTGCTGTGGGGTGCTGGGGCTCCTCCTATAATGGACGGACTCTCCCATCCAGTGCTGGAAAAGGGGTGATTCACGGCGCTTTATAAGAATCCAGACCAGAAAGGGTTCACAGGGAAGCATGGGAAGGGCAGAGCATTCCTGGCCCTGGCTTAAGTGGGGCGAGTGGGTGAGGATTGTGTGGCTGGCACGGGCCCCTGAGGCCCTGAGTAACCCTGGTAATGCCCTTGTGTTGAGCAGGCTGGACTCTTATCCCCAGCCCTGAGTGCCCTGGCAATGCATCTGGCTTTGTGCCTGGGCTTCTGGGGACCTGGTTCTGACCATGAGCCACTCAGCATCCTCCTGCCCCAGGGGAATTGCACAAGCTTTCCCGTTAGCTGTAGTCATGTAAGGTCAGGCGCTATCCTTATCTGTGATGCCTTCCCAGAGGCCAGGAGGGTGCTGAGCTCCAGCCAGCATCATGTTCCCAGGAAGAACGTGTGGCTCGTCCTTGTTTTTGGAAAAGCCTTGCAAAATTTGCCGAGTGCCCCTTCCAGCTGAGACGAGCTCAGCACGGTGTCTGCCCGCGTGCCTCAACACTTGGCCACTTGATGGAGCGGTTGCCCCTGGACTGCGAGGGCC